TCTAATCTTATCAATACGTAGTGCAGTCAGACCTCTCTAATTGCAATCTCTTTAAATTAAATGCAACACCCCTCAAAACGCAGCCAATAATACGCGATTTTTATTATTTTCTCTAAATAAATTTTAGAGGTTTAACTGTACTACATTAATGCATCTAACCGTTGCAATATAGCATTATAGGAAATATGAGCTATCTAATAATGCGTACCAAAATTTCATAAGAAAAACCTTCCGCTATCATAATAAGGCATTTTCATACGTACGAGAAACATAAAAGCACATGTTGATATGTCAGTATTGCATAGGGTCCGTACTTTCTATATATAATATTATGTGTAATGCATTGTCTCGTAATGTCCCGTATATGTTTAGAATTTTCTTATATCAAAAATTTCTGCGTTCTTATATATTATATAGCATTCATAATATGCTTACGGCGTGTATGATTATTATCATGCCTCTATTATTGATTGATTTAAGCTTCATATTCGTTTAACATATCAAATAAATGAGATTTGCTGCCATTTCTCTCTACTCGAAAATTACTCTCGACTTAATATATTCGGAAATTGAATTCCATAATATACTTTAAAATTATCAAAATACGTAAGAATGTGAAATAAAAGTTCATAAGGTGTCATTATTTATAGGTCTCATATTTAATTTGAACAAAATATATTTTGTTCGAATTAGGTATACAAAGCCCATATCAAATAAATTTCGCGACCTTTGGTTTGAAACACTAGATAGAATATTGATGCATAATCTATGAATTAACAATCTGGTTTGCTTAGCGCACTAACGTGAATTGTTTAAAAGTGTAATACGTATTGTGTATTTAAATTAAATTATTGACTAACTAAAAGTATGTACGTACGTACTTAGGTACGTATGTGGCATATAGGTGTAAGAAAATATATAATGCATTTAGATCAATTAAAGCGTTGTTCGTATTTCTTTTCTTTTTGTATCATTGTTCCTTTTTTGTTTTTACTGGATATACGCCGACTCACATGATGCACCGGCTATATATAAGTATTGCTTATACAATATGTGGTTTGGAGACGCTTTGTAATAAACTTTTATTCTCACGACTAAAATAGATAAATAAATAAAGGAGCTATTGAGCAACAACAAATAAATTATTAATTTGAAATTAGCTCAATTATGGCACAAGCGATATTTGATCACTTGAATAATGATCAAAAGACAGAAGTGAAACATTTATATTTTCAAAGTTCTCAAGCCCAACCATCCATTTCGGGCGAGCAACTTTTTGTTTATGATCACCTTCCTTCTGGGCAACAGCTCAAAGGCGATTTAGACTTGGGATCTTTTTCTAATCTCAAAAACATTAATTTTTATTCTAATATACGATTTAATATTTTAGAAAGTATAGATGTTAGTAAAAATGAAAAATTAAGCAAAATAGCAATAATAACTTATTCAACACATTCTTATGCCGATACTTTTTTTACAAATAATGGTTTTATTTTGCAAGTTAAAGACATACAACTTGATAAAATAATTTTATCTTATTATGACGGATCAGGGAAGAAAATATGGAAACATTTGAGAAAGCAAACAATTATACCATATAGATTAGTCGAAGATAACAAATTAGAACAATTAGAGGCCGAAGTTGCAAATTTAAGACAATCTCTTGCCCAAAAAGATCAATCCATAGCTCAGAAAGATCAAACTATAACTCAAAAAGATCAAACTATAGCTGATTTAAATCAAAAGATTCAACAAACTCCTACACTTAACCAATTTCAAGAACTAAATAACATAGTCTTGTCCCGTACTGATCTTGATTTTAATAGACTAAAACAAGAAGTTAAAAACCTTAAATTGAAAGATGTTAATCCATATTTTCATGAACAAAAAAACCATTTTGAACAATTGATATCTACCACTAAAAGTAAAGCAGGCGATGGATTAACTGCCATTTTAGATCTTTTATTACAGACTAACAAACAAATTATTGATTCTGAAAATGGAAGCAGTAATTCTTATACTCAAGGGCAACTACAGGGACAACTGTTTACTTGCAAAACTCTTTTACAAACTAGATTAACTCTAGAAGAACTACAAAACCTGTTAAATAAACAAAAAGAGCTTAAAGAGTTGGAAAAACAATCTGCTATTTTGCAGTAAGTAAA